CGGTTCTGCCTGAGTAGGTGCCGACTCTTTTTAAGGTAAGGAAAGTCTTCCTAGGACGGTGAAACATGCAAACCCACTAATGCAACAAGGATTTGAAGAAAGGAGTATGATGTATCTATATATTACTTCAGAGAGCCGCCGCGAGACTAACAGCCTTTCTCCCCACAGCTGGAAGTGTCACCAGTGCTCACGTAAGGCGATCGGCGCGCAGTGAGTCCGACAATTAGCACTGTCCTCGCAGTCCCCCAGCTCGCCCCGAGACAGGAGGGCACGGGCTGCTCCTGGCACCTTCGGAGCAGCAAACTCCACTCTGAAGTCACTCAAAACACAAACATTTAGCACCTTTCTGAAAATGCTCAGCATGCTGGGACATCGCGCTTTCACTTGTTGGCGAGTTATTGATCGCTGAGGTCACCTGTTATTATTTCTAGCTCAAGAATAATTATTTGGAAGCGGGACCCTGGCCCAGAGCCCCACAGCAACAACAGGTCAGGCAGAAAAAACAAAGCCCAGAGTCCAGGTAAAAGAGGCTTCATCGCCTATTCCCATCTGCACTTGTGCAGCACCTGGCTTTTCTGTCCAGGGCTGGACTCACACTATTGAGATGTGAGGAAAGAAAGGGAAAAAAACAGACAGAAAATATTATTGCTGCTATCTGCTTTGAGCCAAATCCTGGAGCCACTAGGGAGTTTTTCTTAATTAAGCACTATTTCCTTGTCAGCTCCGAGAGCCTCAGAAATGAAATTCTGTTCAAGTTACATGAGCTGATGTTTGAGACCTGCTAGTGAGCAAATATGTAACGTCCTGTATGAAATCCCAGACTCAGGATGATGACTGCCTGCAGCCACAGTCACCACTAGGAGCACTGAGCGAGGGAACACATTGTGTTTCTCAGCCATAGGACACAACAGGATTTCACACCACAAGTAAGTCCTCTTACCACTGCGCCCCTGGGACAGGACGCGGGAGCAAAATCACAACAAGCCACGCATCAGAAAATCACAACCAAAATCCGAGCTCGGCGTCTGCCTCATCCCATGCTCCGGCTGCTAACCCGACGGGCTACGCTGCAGAAATGAATGGGATGACTCAAACTGATATCTGGTGCCCTCATGTTAATCCCGTCCCTTAATAAACTGCCTTTATTAGTTTAACAACCTAAAAATAACTGGCTGCATGATACTGACCAACCCTAATCAAAACATCTGCAAGCCCATCTAGCCTGAGCTACCCTTCAGATCATGTGCCACCACTTCAAAGCCTGTGCATCAAGTCAGTAATTGTAACATTGCATCTAAATATTTAAGCTAGGGGCTGGTAGTCGCGTGTCCCATTTACAGTCAGCATCTGTCCTCTAATTCCATTACAGTACAAAGCAAAAATGTTTCCCAAAACTTGCAAACAGGAAAAGCATCACACAGCTAGAGAAGGAGCAGCAGCTTGAACTTTCTAGCTGCTGAGCAGGGCTTTTGTACTAAGGTCCTCCCACCCCCCCTTGAAACTCTCCACATACACACAGAAAAACAGGGGTGGTGCCGAAATTGTATTAATGTGAGCCTCAGGCGCACAGAAAAAAAAAAAAGAAAAGAGGAAGGGGAGGGAGAGGGGGGAAGGGTTTGGTCCGAGATGAAAGTCAGAAGGAAATAAAGGAGGCAATTTAGTCTGCTGTAGCCTGAATTGCTCTCAGTAGGGCCAAGGGTAGAGGCTGGGGATGAGTAGGGCCCTTCTTGGAGGGGTGCGCATGACTGGGGGAGGATCCGCCACCACAGCCCCGGGGGCCAATTCCGCCGGCCCGGGAACAGAGACCCCTTTGAGGCCGGGCGGGGGTCCCAGCCCCAGCCCTTTGCACCAGCTCCGCGCCCCGCCGTCCCAGCGCCGAGAGCCACCGGCTTCTGCCAGAGAAAAACAGCTATATCTGAGGGACGGGGGCGGTTATCAGATTAGTCAGCAAACCACGCCGCCCATAGCTCCCGCTAAAGGTACGAGCGACTGCCTCTTCTGTAGCAGTTATGCTAAAAATACGCCCTGATGTGCCATGGAAAGGCACAAAAGTTTCTCTCTCATGTGCTTTATTTATGGTTTATGCCTTTAAGAAAGATTTGTCACGCGTCCAGAAATACAGATATGCTATTATCGAATTGTAAGCTTCCTGATACGCACTGTGACAATTAAGATTTTCTTTAAATATATATCCAAAATCAGGGTAGAGGGTGACACTGACAGAAAAGCCAAAATACAGCAAAGCGGCTGCACACGTGGCATCTGTAAACGTTGGCGAGAGACTTAAGTGTCCCTGAACAGAGGCTGAAACAGAATTACAGCAGGGCATACGAAAGTTTACCTACAGTTGCTTATGTGATGGGAGAAATCCCAAGCCACATGATACACTGTTTCCATTGCGCGTTTTTCTATAATATCGTGTTTCGCTTTTCCCTAATCCCGCTCTGCTGTAAATACTCTCCAAATCCCAGATCTTGAATTAGGTGCCATTAAAAGTACAACAATATCCTTTCCCTCAGAAAAAATGCCTCTCCCCAAGCCACCCAAATGCCGACGGCGAGGAGGGGATTTCAGGCAACATCAGCCAACGTCCAGCACTAGGTGTGTGCTCACGAGCAAGAGAGCAGCCACCCTGCATATCACTGACTCCGCGCTCAGCCCTGGGACTTGCTTTCTGACCCAACCAAAAGCCTTCCCTTGCGTCTCCCTGCACCCACACTCCTGCCATGGGGGTAACTTGAGCCCCTGAGATCACAGCTATAAAAATTACTCGAACTATAAGAGACCCCAAAACACTGGACTTTTTTCACTCCGTAACACCGAGCACTCAGTGGCGAGGGCTTTGCTGCACCCCGCTGGGATCACCTTCGGACACAGCACAAGCAAGCCAAGCGTCAGGGTGCACATGGGAGATGCCCAGTCAGCAGGGACCCTCTGCCCCACCAGGCAGGGGATGCTGCAGCATCAAAACCCTCAGGAGTGGGCCAGTTCTATCAGCAAGAGAGCAGGATCTGACCTGATGATTTTTACAGACGAGCTGAAATGGAAGCTCCTCTGCTGGGAATGGGAGCTGAAGCAGAACCCTTTTTGTTGGCTGGGTATGGAAAGTAGTGGCGGACTTAATTTATGGTTGTTTTTTTCTTGCGGTGAGCTCTCCAGTGTGTGGCCCCTATAGTACCACACTATACATAAGGCATGTGTATGGCAGCAAATCTGGAGCTGCTGCTCTCTCCCGCTGCAGCAGCCCAGCTGCTCCAGGAGTCAGATTAAGCAACAGCTTGCTAGTCAGGGAGGGGGAGCAGGCGTTGCTGCGGGGAAAATCAGGCTCTCCCTCCTACTGCCAGGCCTTCCCAGGCACTGTCACAGAGCAGACGGGATTATCAAACTGCTGTTTGCACAGAACTGCCCGGCCACATTCACCCAGCAAATAAACCTGGACAGCGTAGGGCTGCTCTACCCTGTTTCATCAGGGGAAATTTTGCCACTGACTGAAATCGCAAGAAGCAAAGCGGGACGCTCAGGTCCACAGAGAATGAGGCAGAGAGCACATTGGAGGGCCGGCCGCAGCCTCCTGGCACGGCCGTGCCAGGGACCAGGAGTGAGCCCCCGGCCGCAGCAAGGCACCGCCAGCCCCAGGGCTTTTCCTGCCGGGCTGGAGGGCGGCAGCCGTGTGCCCAGACACCAATTTATGGCAGATCAAGAGCCCTGCTTTAAAAAGCGGAACGTCAAAGAACAGGAAGATTATTCCAAAGAGAAGCAGAGGGGTGGGTTATATTGATAATAGTATTTTTTCTCTTGCTGTCTCTATTTTTGTTCCATAAAGCAGTGATATTATCAAGGCTTCCTATCTTCTGTTTTTAGTCCCTGTTGAGGAATTCAGGAAAGCAGAAAAGCCAGATATTTTAAAACAATTAGAGCACCGAGTTCAGCTGTCTTTCCCTTGGTGCACATCCCTCACGACAATTCTCTGTGGCGGGAGCTTCTGGGGGAAACTCTGACCCACCAGGCAGGGGCAGCTAGACCGGGCAATCAAACTGTGCCTTCTCACCTTAATCTGTTACTTTGTTAGCATCTTCTGCGTGTTTGTATTACACGCATCCACGCAAACACAGACACACAAAAGATGAGGTTTCCCTGAAAGCTCCAGTAACAGAGTTGGAAACTAAGTTTTGGGGTATTTTAGGGTTTGTTCCTACACAACAAAGAGACACCCTGCTCTTAAAGATGGGTTTCAGTTGTCCTTTGTCAATCGGCATCTCTAAATGTCTAGAAACACTAGAAACATTTTCTAGGTAAAAACAGCTACTTTTTCCATGGTGGAGAGTCCATAAAACTGCGTGGAGCATCAGCTATTAGGGGCTCATTGAATAATTCATCCCTCATTGCAAGCCCATAATGTCTTTTCTCGGCCTTTTGTGGGACTGTTTTCTCTTCTTTTCTCCTTGAATTATAAAAAGGTTGCCTTCTTTTGTTCACATCAAGCTGCTGCTAGCTGAAGCTTTGTCTGCGCAAAGCCAAAGTGTGAGTTTCAATGGACTCCCCCCTCTTTGTTTTCCAAGTTCATCTCCAAGTGTAGATTGTGTATAGAAGGCCTTCTTTGTAAAAGCTGGAAAAGTTGTACAAATGTTTGACCAGCTCATTTGGTACTTTTGTCTCGCCTTCACCAGTGCCTGTGCTGGGAAGCCACTT